ATAAAGCAGCAGAGACAGCTTGCAACATCAATGACACATTGGCCCAGGAACTGCTAACAAATGTACAATGCAGTGGTGGTTCAAGAAGTTGTGCAAAGGAGACAACAGCCTTGAAAATGAGTGCAATGGCTAGCCTTCAGAAGTTGATAACAACCAGTTCAGAGCAATCATCGAAGCTGATTCTCTTAAAACTTTAAGAGAAGTTGCTCAAGAACTCAAATGTTGGCCATTCTACCGTCATTCAGCATTTGAAGCAAAGTGGAAGGTGAAAAAGCTCAATAAGTGGGTGCGCCTCATGAGCTGACCAAAAATAAAAAATATCATTATTTTGAAGTGCCACCCTCTCTTACTCTACTCAACAACAACGAACCATTTCTTAATCAGATTGTGATGTGCAACAAAAAGTAGATTTTATAAGACAACTGGTGATGACCAGCTGCTCAGTGGCTGGACCAAGAAGCAGCTCCAAAGCACTTCCCAAAGCCAAACTTGCACCAAAAAAAAGTCATGGTCACTAGTGGTCTGCCGGTCTGATCCACCACAGCTTTCCGAATCCTGGCGAAACCATTACATCAGAAAAGCAGGCTCAGCAAATCGATGAGATGCACAGGAAACTGCAATGCCTGCAGCGGTACTGGTAGACAGAAAGGGCCCAGTTCTCCTCCACAACACACAACCCGCATGTCACACAACGCTTCAAAGGTTGAAAGAATTGGGCTATGACGCATTGCTTCATCTGTCACCTTCCCCAACTTCCCCCAAACGGATTACTACTTCTTCAAGCATCGACAACTTTTTGCAGGGAAAACACGTCTACAATCAGCAGAATGCAGAAAATGCTTTCCGAGAGTTCCTCAAATCCAGAAGCATGGATTTTCACACTATAGGAATAAACATACTTGTGTCTTGTTGGCAAAAATGTGTTAATGGTAATGGTTCCTATTTTGATTAAGAAAGATGTGTTTGAGCCTAGTTACAATTTAAAATTCATGATCTGAACCCCCAATTACTTTTGCACCAACCTAATAGTTGGGAGGAGAGCCAAAAACACCTAAGAAAAAGGCAGAACATAGACCAAAGGGAAAATATCAGAGTGAAAAAACTTCCAAGATTTTTTAAAAAGTAAGACGCTGGGAAATCTGCAAAATGGCCACAGAAAAAATACCTCCAGGAGGGAAAAGCAGGGTGAGAAACCCTAATCAATCCATAAAGCAGAGATTTCAGAATCTCCACAAAGTTTCAGGCCATATTCTTGGTACCCCAAAACCCTTCCTTTGGCCATGTGCTCAAAGAAAGGTGGAGAAGCTCAATGACATTATGCCATGGTTTCTGAGGCCATAGAGCTGGGCTAGATTAGTAGAAATTAAATGCTGTCCCAGGACTGTAGCAATTAAATGAAAGTTTTCATTGGTCCATAACAAGTGAGAAAAAATACGGCAATGTTGTTGTTTTGTAAAGATAGCTATCCAACTTAAGGCATTGTCCCTCATTACAGGACCACATACACTAAACACTCCTCAAAATGTCTGGTGAAATTAGAGTAATAGAGCGGGTGTCCTTCACCTGGCTTTGCCTCTATGGGATAGCCACATTTGTGTCTATGGCTGGCCTAACTAGCCAGTATCTCTTAGTTCTAGTTTCTTTTGGGCTCAGGTCAGGCAACCTTAAGTTCCCCTCCTCCAGTTAGCATCAACAAGAGCAAATTCCTTTGACCATGCAGGAAAGGGTTCCCAGACCCAATACTCAACTGCCAACCTTGCTCCCCTCACTCAAACTCTGGAAACTCACAGCTATTCTTCAATATCTGCTTTACAACCCCAAATCTATATGTATATATAAAACAAACCTGACTCCCTCAGAAGCCTACATCCTGAGAACTCTTTGAACCTTGCATAAAAGTTTTTTTAAAAACCTGCACAATAGCACTTCCCCCAAAAAGGCTCACTGGTCAAGGGGTAAAAATCTAGAAGCTTTGCATTCTGTCCCATCCCCAGCCTCCACAAAGACCTTTAACCTGCCCTTAAACACTGATATCTTCTCTGCAAGGGCATTTATTCTGTGGTCTTCAGGCTTTCTGGACTTCAGCACCCCATAAATTAGACAATTTTTTTCCTTCAGTTTATTTTCATTATTTGGAGATAAGAGTGTTTCTCTTTTGTGTCATGTATTTTCCAAGTCCCTCACAAAGACATTTTCTCCCTTTTCAACATAGTATGAAGACCAAGAAAGCCCAAGGTGAGTTGCAGCTGGACAGCCCACAGCAGCATAGAGGGCACTTCAGGGAGAAGAGGGTAGTAACATTATCCCTTCTGCTGCACCTGTGATTGTGCCACAGCACACAGGAAGCCTCCCATCCCTGACTCACTTCAGACTTCTGTCCAGTACCTGTAACACCATCCCAGTTATCACCCAAAGAGAAGTCTCAAGAGAGTTCTGAATCCCTGGCCTGCACATGGCAGCTGGTCTTTTACCCTTAGCCCAACATCCTTCTTCAGAGTCACCCAAAAAGCCCTTCCAATTACCATCAACCTAGGAACTGACACCTTCATGGGTCTGTATCTTCACCCAGGATGGGGCCAGTTGGGGCTCCATCTTTCAGCACATCACTCCAAAAGGGCAACTCCGGGCCCTATACTGAGTGACAGCAAAGGCTCTCAACTAGCACCCCAAGTTAGGGGAAAAGTTGTTGCTTAACACTACTGCCACATTCCTCATGTCCCTTTCCCATTTTCTGGTCATAATCCAGCCTCTCACAGAACTGACACCTCTGCCCTCTTTCCAGCTCTGATCTGAGGTCAAAAGTTGGTCTCCTCAGATTCTCTCTCAATTAGAGGAAAGGACAACGCATAGGATACTTAACAATTCAACCTCAGGTTCCCGCTACCGCTAGAATCCAACACTCTATACCACTTAGTCCAGCAGCACAGACGACAGGATTTCAGGGTGTGGGGACAAATAGCACGTCTTAAATGCAGGCATTTTGCTGATGTTATAATGGAGGGGAGAGCTGAGAGATCAAAGAAGCAAATCATCAAACACAACTTTCCTATATAATCGACATTACATGTCTAATATCCTGACATTTGGAAGAGGGTTTAACCAGACCATGGGGAGGCCATTTGCAGCTAGTACCTAACAATGAGTATCACCTATCGCCCTCAGCCCCAAGATTCCTGCTACTCTGACACCACTCGCCAGACCCACACCCCCAAGAGTACTGAATTTGGGATTCAATTATCAGCAAGACTGAATCCCTAATTCTTAACCGCCCTGAAAATTATACCTGAACTACTGTTTAATTATCTCTGTAATATTGTTCCTGTCTTCCAGTACCGCTTACAGTGAGGAGGACTAACTCAGGAGAAAGGAAGAGATATTTTTTTCCAATTCCAGGCTGCCCATCTCCACTCTCGTTTCCTTTAGGTTCCCAACAGCTGTGATGTCTTTAATTACTGTCACCACGAATGCTACTATTTGTATACAGGTTTAACGTGTTCTAAAAATGGGCTTTAAGAATAAACCCTCGCCCCTCCCCAAAGAACTTAAAGGTAGTCCTTCGTTCAGGTTCCCTGTTATTAGGATCCTTTCTCACTTTCCCAGTCTGGCTTCAGAAAAAAACACCCTCTTCCCATCCCACAATCCCCAACAATTTGGATGAGTCCATGCCCAGATGCAGTCTATTATCACTGCAGTTCCAAGTCAGGCCCACAGTGTTTGCTTCATTAACAAACTATAGAGCTTCGAGCAGTTCACATACCCAACTAAGCCTGCAAGCCAGAGAAAAGTCTGTAACAGCTAGAGAGCAACGTACAGCACCCCACCAGGGAGGGGAGTCACTGAAGGCCATAGTCCTCCACTTTTTTAAACTTAACACACTTGTTAAGGACTTCTCTAGTGACCTCAAGTGACTTAAAAGTCATTTCAGGAATTGTCTTTCCTGAATCAGAGGATGGTAAAACCCATGTTTGTAACTTAAGAGACGAGAGCCTGAGCGGATTTTGATAGGGAAAAGGAACAGAAGGAAAATAGGTATGTCGTGCGTGGTAGAAGCCCCTAGGCTTGTCTGACTTGGCAGAATCTGTGAATTGGGCACAAAAAGGCTGAGTCGGTGGAACCCTAATGGGTTCTTGACTTCACTAAATGGATGACTAGGATCCCAGGGAGATGGCTCAAAGAGCAGGAAGCATGTCTGCTCCCCTCTCGTCATCAGAAAATCTGGTTAAAAATCGTCAGCTTTGACTTAAGGAAAAATGGCCTGTGCAGCTGGCAACTGAAGCTCAGTATTCATGTGTGGAACCAGAAACTTCAGCCAACTTAACATCCACTCACTGTACAGCCCCTTCTTCCCCTGACAGGGCTTTCACATTTTCCAGGGGTTTATGCAAAAGCCGCCCCACAGGCCAGATGCACTACGTAACAAGGCTTCTGCGGCGTCCACCTTATGTCATCAAAGAAGGCTTTTTTTCCCCCCCCAAGGCCACTATCACAAGCATAGATGACTCTGCTACAGTTCCAGGTCTCGGTTAACGGCTTAGGTTTGGGGATATCCCCTGCTCCAGAGCTTCCCAGTGGGCGTCCTCCTGCCCAGGGGGCGCCTGCTGAAAAGAACTCCAGCCCCGCCAACCAAGCCTAACAGAAAGAGGACGCGGGGCGGGAGCGCAACGCCTTTTAACGGCTGCCAGTGGGGTCTCCCGTGCCCGCCGCCAGGGGCTTCCGGGCTAACGGACCTTCCAGAAGCTGCGCCAGGGGCCCCGCTGGGCGCTGGTCAGGGGATCCCGCAGCCCTAGGCCCCTGCTCCGTGGCGGGGTGCAGGGCAGAGTCCCAGCCGCTGGCGCCCTGCGCTGCCCCGCCCTGCCCTACCCTGCCTAGGGGTCTTCAGCGGTGGCCCCCAGCTCCACACACCGCCGCAGGACGTAAACACAGGGCTCATGGGTGCCCAGAGATTCGCCCCGGCCTGGGCCCAGCGAGGCACGCTGTTCGCGGGGCCCTCCCCTGCCCCCCTTCCAGTGGCATGTTTTCCCTTGACTTTGGACAGTCTCACTCTCTCGGTCACCGGTCGGTCACCGTGGTGGGGGTGCACGTCTCTTCCCGCGCAGCGCTCCTCCGAAGTGAAGCCATCTCCCCGTCCGGACTCAGAGTCCCTGCTACCGGGCGTGTCCTGCCCCTGCTTGGAAGCCTCTAGGTATCCCCGCAGCCACCTGCAGCTGAGCCCACTTGACCTTCCTGCCGCCTCCCCACGAGGCAGCTTGTGCTGAAGTGCCTGGGGCATCTGGTCGCCTGTCACCCCCTTGCTTTTGGCCCCTGTTAGGTCTTTCTGACAAATTCTCTGCTGTGTCTTCTCTGCCTCATAGCCTTTGTGTTGAAACTCTCCCAGGTCCAAAGACTTTTTGCGCAGGGAAGCCATACTCACCACTATTTGTATTGTGTTGTGCTCAATTTATTAAACTCATACACCTGATACTATCTCTAAAAACATTTTCTACTTGAACATCTCATTAATTCCTGGTTTCATTAAATATCCCTATATTGTTTAGATTACAATCACAGGGGGGAGTTGAGTTTTTTGAACACTTTAATGACTTAAACAGTAGACATAACGTGTACTACACAACTTTACAAAATAATCTACAAAAACTTCACTAGTTTTATACTTGCCCAAAGAGGCAACAATTAAACTTTGTTTCTTACACTTACCTTTTCCCAAGGCAGAGGGAGAGGGAGAGATATGACCAAATGGTGACAGTTTATGTGTGATAGATGAGATGAGGGTTTTCCATTGTCCTTTTTAAATATTTTTCACATAGTAGGGTGTTTGTTTATTCATCTTTCTCTGTCACTCCAGCTGGAGTGCAATGGTGCGATCTCGGCTCCCTGCAACCTCTGCCTCCCAGGTTCAAGTCATTCTCCTGCTTCAGCCTCTTAAGTATCTCTGGTTACAGGCATCCACCACCATACTTGGCTAATTTTTGTATTTTTGGTAAAGGCGGGGTTTCACCCTGTTCGCCAGGCTGGTCTTAAACTTCTGACCTCAAGTGACCCACCAGTGGCAGCCTCCCAAAGTGCTGCGGTTATAGGCGTGAGCTACTGCACCCAGTCCAGATTTTTAAATGTATTTTTAATTTTAAGAAGGCCAGAGACATGAAGAGATTGTGGAAACAGGCAAGAACAGACCAAGCCCTTTGACAATCTGATTACATCCCTCTGCTTTTTGGGGGCCCCTCCCTTAATGCCCACAGGCCTTTCCCACACAGTGCAGTTCTGACAGAAAGCAGGAGAGGCATGGAAGCTGAGGGGAAGCTGAGGGAGACTGGTGTGGACAGGGTCAGTGGGGGTTCTGCCGTGATGTGGGAGGCAGAGGAACCTAATTGATTCTATAATACCTAACCAACTGAGGGACCAGCCAACTCTGCACATTTGTGTGTGTGTGTGTGTGTGTGTGTGTGTGTGTGTGTGTGTGTGTGAAAAGTAGGTATAGAAGTGAACTGGGAGGCGTTGCCCAGTCACAAAGAGCTCCCCCCACCTTTATTTTCTTCAGTCCTCTCTTCTACTCTGTTCATTCCTTGGTCACCTTTCCCATTCGATAATAAGTGTAAGGCTGGACTCCAAATGAAGGCTGCTGAAGTGTTCACAATAATTGTGGAGAGTGCAGAAGTTGAGACACTCGGGTTTGAAATCAGAAAGAGACAGGCTTTTTTGTAAGCTCTCCTGCCTATTAGGTGTGCAACACTGGGAAAGCAATCTAAACTTGGAGCCTCTGCTTTTTCATCTCCACGCTGGAAATGGCATAACCTGTAAGGATGACCACCCATCACAATGGCTGTGGAGGTCAACACTTACGTAACGAGAGCCAGCAGCGCTCCTCCTGCTTTTCTACCAGCGTCCAGCCCGGATGCTTCTAGCTCCCTTTAGCACTTGTCCTATCCTTATCCGATTCCTGGACTCTCTTCCTGGACTCCAGTATGAGGGAGTGGGGCTAAGATGTTTTCCTCCTTTCCAAAGGGTCCTTTGCAGACTGCGAGGAAGGATGGGTGCTCCTGACCCTTACAACCTGTTCAGGTGTGCTGGGGTCCAGGGTCCTGGATCTCTGGAGGAGTCCCTCCAGAGCTGGAGTCCACCTTCCCCCAGCAAGTATGGAGAATCTCTCTCAGGCTCTGATCCAACCTCCTAAGGAGTGCCCAGCTGAGGGCCAAATGTCAGAGGCCCTCTCGTTCCCAATCCCATTCTGACCTGACTGCCTCCACACACTTCTACACTCTCTAAGAGGAAATACTTGAGTCACAAGACCCCGGGGTACTGTCCCCTCCTCCCCAGTCCAAATCCCACCTCCTCCATAGCAAGAAGGCCCCAGTCTGGAAGCCCAGTCTTTCTGGGACCTCTGCCTGATGACCTCTCCAGCAGGGGCCCTTCATCCACCCTCTGTACCCACCATATCCCCTGCCCTGCCCTCTCCTCCTTCCCCTGCCGTGACCCTTCAGGGCACTCTTGGTATCTTGCCTTTTCCCTTCTCCCATGCATGTCTAGAACACAGCGCCTCACCAGGCATTGGCACTGGAGAGTTTCTGTACCTGCTGAGAGACACTCCTACAAGGCAGAGTGGCCCTACAGTCAAATCCCTTAACTTCTCTTGGGTACATCTCACCATTTCTTATACTCTTCTCCCCTGTGTCTTGGGGCAGGCCTTTATTCTCTCCCAAATCTGTCCCTATCTGACCTTTTCTGAGAGGTCTGATGACAGGTACATCAAGAGACAGCTTCAGCTTTAAAAGTGGGGCTTTGAGTATCAGTAACCAGGGATTGTAAGAGCTAGCCTATCAATGGAGACAGGGACTTTGGGCCCCTGGAGTCCCATTCTCAGGTCTGAGCCCACTATGCTTGTTTGCCCCCAGCTGGGTGTGCCTAGTAGCTGGGCATGTTTGTCTCTCTGGGACTATTGTGGAATTTGTGTGTTTGCAGCAGGGGGGCATGTAGAGGAATATGCCTTTTTACTTACTAGTAAGGAAATATGTGTCTGATCATGAGTGTTACAAACTGGGAGGAAATTATGAGCAGAATGGGAAAATAGAGTAGAATTTCTAAATCAACAGGTGGCATGGAGAGAATAAGTGAAAAAGAAGGAAAAGAAAAAAAAAAGAAGGGAGTCTAACAGTTATTAAATGTGAATGGGCTGAATTTTTTAATTAAAAGAGACTACGTTATTGGGTTTTGTTTTTTCTAATATAGTATAATATATTGTTGAACAATAAATACACTTAAAACAAAATGCATCCAAAGGAATTGAAATAAAGTAGGTGACAAATTCAAATACACACACAGAAATAGTAGTAGTCATATTAGGCTAGGTTGAATAAATTATGTAAAAAACATACACACCACACACTCTAGCACCTATGTGTTTTAATAAGCAAAAACTATTAGAGATGCAAACAGAACCATGATTTTCAAAACACAACTGAGACCAGGTAGGTGGTTCACACCTGCAATCCCAGCACTTTGGGAAGCCAAGGTTGGAAAATCACTTGAGGCTAGGAGTTTGAGACCAAGGACAGTGAGGTCCTGTTTTTATTAAAAAAAAATTTTTTTAATTAAAAAAAATAGCTCCTTTGGAGGCTGAGGTGGAACAGATCACTTGAGCCCAGGAGTTCAAGGTTATAGTGAGCTGTGATTGCACCACTGCACACTCCAGCCTGGGTGACAGAGCAAGACCCTGTCTCTATTAAAAAAAAAAAAAAAAAAAAAAAAAAGACACACAAGTCAGTGGGAATTTAAAAATACCTTCTTAAGGATCCCTTTTGTCTGTTGTTTCAAAATTAGACAAAATAATCTTTGAATTTAAATGTAAATATCTAAAAAAGCTAGGAAAGTCATGGAAAGCGAGACTACTGCCAGAGTCTTATCTCTCCAATGTTGCATAGGTTCCTCAAGAGAGCTACTGAATGAAGGACTTAATGAAGAAGTTACTGAATGAAGACAGGCTTAACTGTCCTGGGCACTGGTATGTGTGGAACCAAGGGGGTAATTCTGGCTTTCAGCTGCCTGGAGAACTGGTATAGGATCAGCTGTAGGAAAGCCGACCGTGCTAGGAGAGAGACTAGGGCAGGGTAAGCCTTGCTGAAGGCTCTAATTGGTGGTGGTGAAGCCAGCAAAGGAAACTTGAAAAAGTGCTGGGCTGTGTTAGTTAATTCGTGTTGCTATGAAGAAATACCTGAGACTCAGTAATTTATAGAGAAAAGAGGTTTATTTGGCTCGCAGTTCTGCAGACTGTACAAGAATCATACTGCCAACATTTACCACCAGTGAGAGCCTCAGGAAGCTTTTACTCATGGTGGAAGGCGAAGGGGGAGCCAGCATATCACATGGAAAGAGTGTGAGCAAAGGAGAGGGAGGAGGTGCCAGGCTCTTTTCAACAACCAGATCTCACATGAATTCAGGGTGAGAACTCATTCATTACCATGAGGATGGCGCCAAGCTATTCATGAGGATTCTGACCCCATTACCCAAACACCTCCTGCTAGACCCCACATCCAACTTTGGGGATCACATTTCAACATGAGATTTGAGGGGGACAAACATCCGAATCATATCAAAGGCTCAAACCCTCTCTAGGATTGGGGAACATGCAAGGAAACAATGACATATGAATTGGCTGGGCAACGTTCAATTATTTATTCAATGAGTAGGTACTATGGATGGGATAACAGGCTATCATTTCTGCCAGGCAAAAATGTAGTTTTTCTTTGGCTACCCCTACTAAGGGAGACATTTTTCTTTAGAAGAATATATAAACTTCCCAGCTTGGATTTTAAGGTTCTTGGAACTGATTAGGTCCTTTCAGAACCCAGCCCATGGACCTAACTCACAATTTCTCAGTTGCAGCCAGAAAATCCAGGTTCAAGATGCTGTCATCCAGCATGACAAAATTGCCACTGGGGACTACAAGACAAACTGCTTGTGCAGCCACAGAACTGAAAGATGAACCCTGAGCTATTCCACCTGGCAGGGAAGCAAGGCTTATAGATGAGGGGCTTTGTGGGAGCTCAAGACAGCAACAGATGGTGACAGCCCCCTCCAGCAGGACAGTCCTGGGAGCAGTCACGTCTGTGAGGTCTTTGAAGCTGATGCTATGTGGCATAAGTTTGACCCAGCTCAGTGCCTAGAATATAGTACTCTTTAAATGTCTGCTGAATGACTGAATGAAAAGAGGTGGCTGAGGGAAGCATATGCTGACTGGACCCTCTAGAAGCCTCCCTGATTAATAATAATCAGCTACTCCCTGAGACCTTGAAGAAGACAGTGCTAGAAGCTGCTGCCCAAAATATCTAGAAGTCCACAGAATAAATCTATAGCCTCCACTAGGGCCCATAAGTGGAAATTTGGAAACCTTGATAAGTCTTATAGTTCCTGCAAGGGACTCCTTGAATTCTTAACAAAAACTATCTAAAGCCTCTAAAAAGGAAGTCTTGGAGCCCCTGCTGGAAATCCTTGGAGGAACCCTCCCAGGAAGCCTTGGAGCCCTGTCTGGAAGCCCTGGAAACACTGCCAGGAGTGAGGGACAACCTTTTAGGACTGAGACAGTCACATGTGGGTATTAGGACACTGAGCTCTGCTTTTGTAGCAAGAGGAGGAGGTGGGGAGGAAGGTCATTATAGCTTTGTTTTAATACCATTGGCTGTGTCTCAGTTACCTAGATCCAAAGAGACCAGTCAGAAAGGATAGTTCAGGGAGTTTCCAAGTCTTTGATGAAGATAGTGGGCTTTGGAAATATGGATTCTTAGTGGTGGTCAGCTGTGGGGCTTGAAACCATCTTTTTCCTTTTATTTTTTTCTGGTTTTTAAATTTTTTTTTTGTTATTGTAGTCTTATTTGTGTTTTCTCCACAAACGTACTGAAACCACCTCTTGATGGTTTTTTGTCGAAGGATGTTAGTGTGTCTTTGTTGACAGAATCTAGGAGAGCCTGCAGGCAGTCAGGTCAGAGCACAGATTTTGACAAACATGAGTATTATCTAATCATTTCTGACCCACTAGGGCCCAAAAACAACAACAAAAATTTGTTCTTTGTTCACAAATAGATGATTAAAGTACTTCTACTCACGTACTCAGATGATTTCTTTCTCTAGGCCTCCCTAGAAAGGATTTCTTTGAATGCATTTAGCTGTGAAAGGAAGACACAAACGATTACTGAAATTATGTCAGAGACAAATACAGAAACAGATTCAAGAACAACTTCAGAACAAACAAAAGTGTAGATTGATACCATAGCAGAGGGAAAGGGAAGAAGCAAATCTAAAACAGAGAGATTAAAAGAAGGCAGTGAAGGCACAAATCAAAACTCACAGTATCAGAAATGAGCAAGAAGGGCACTGCTATCAACTGGAAGACAGTCATTCAAACAGACAATAAAGCCCAGGCATCTCTGGTATAGTTGGTGAGCCTCTTTAGAAAGAATGTCTTTCTGTAATTCTGGGGGAAGAAAAATGAGATATGAGAAAAGTAGCTTTAAGAGATGTGTCTGAAAGGAGCAGAAATGGAAAGAGACAAGGATATATTGGGACCAAATGATAGAAAATTGTTTTTCCCCTTCCTCTCTCCCACTCAGCTCTACCCACAAAAGTGTGGAACCCTGAACCCAAGTTCCCAGATACCAGCCAAGGCATTCTTTTTAAGGATAGCAGTCTCAGGCCTGCTATGTTAACTCTTTAATGCACAAGTGGCCTCTGGTGAGTACTAACTGATGTGCTCCCAACTAGCCTTCCTTTCTAATCAAGATCCAGCAATCCCATCACTAGGTAGATACCCAGAGGACTCTAAATCATTCTACTATAAAGATATATGCTTGTGTATGTTCATTGCAACACTATTCACAATAGCAAATACATAGAATCAATCTAAATGCCCGCCAATAATAGACTAAATCAAGAAAATGTGGTACATACATACCATGGAATATTATGGAGCCATAAAAAATGAGAGCATGTCCTTTGCAGGAACATGGATGGAGCTGGAGGCCATTATCCTTACCAAACTAACACAGGAACAGAAAACCTAACACCACATGTTCTCACTTATAAGTGGGAGCTAAATGATGAAAACACATGGACACATGCAAGAGAACAACACACACCGGGGCCTATTGAAGGGTGGAGGATGGGAGGAGGGAGAGGATCAGGAATATGGGTATATGGGTTCTAGGATTAACACCTGGGTGACAAAAATCTGTACAACAAATCCCCATGACACAAGTTTACCTGTGTAACAAACCTGCACATGTACTCTTGAACTTCAAAGTTAAAAACAAAAAATAAATAAATGATAGCAATTTAAAAAATGAAGACTTAATTGAAATACGATTTTTCTGGTATTTTTATTTTTTTTATATTTAGAAGTTAGGATTTCCCTAGATACACCTATCTTATGAGAATTCGAGTTTGTGGTGAGACCAAAATGAGATTTTCAGAAAAAAAATAAGGGACAGGGAGTCCTCACAGCAGTTAAATCTGTGGGATCCAGGACTGGGTCCAGAAACACATTCTTTGATGGGTTTATGTTGAAAAGTTTAGAGCTGGAGGCTGCACACTCAGGAATTTAGACGCCCCAAAACACCCTATACTCCTTCCCCTGCTGATGGAAACTGGGAAAGCTTTAGTGTAGCATAGCCAGAACTGGAAAACTAAAATTTGGAAGAGAGATTTTTTTCTAGTGTATTTTCTGAATCCTGTGCCTGTGACGTGTGCTAAGTACCTTTTTAAAGCAACCACCTTTTTAAAAGAAGAATTCACATCTTAATTGTAGAAGGCAAATTCACTGTTTGCTTGGATCCCCCTCTGAGAATTCATCCCGGGCTCATTTGTACAATGGGGAAGTTTGTCAATAGATCTCTGCCTACATTTTGTGCACTCTTCACCCTTTTTAAAGAACCTCTTCCCCTGTACTTCTGACCTTCCTCTTCCATCTCACATTCTATTCACAACTTACTCATGTAGAGATAAAAGAGCTGATCATTTATATCCCAGAGTGTTTAATGTTTAAGAGGGTCCAGGCACTTCACCTAAGGAAATGAAGCTCCAATGGTATACTCAAACGCATTATTAGCAGGGTTTAGTTTATCTCTTTAACCAAGTGAGGTTTCCCTGATGCTCCTTAAATTCCCGAAAATGCTGTCACAGAGACATGTTCCCATTGGTCAAGGAGCCTCTCAATAGTTCATATCAAGACCTTAAGGATGGTAGCTCTTTTCCCTATTCTCTAGGGCAGAATCTTACAAGATTCCAGGGAGGTCAGCATTCTTGATCCACAAATGTTGGGGCATGGAACAAATAGACATTTCAACCTCATCTTGACTTAGGCTAGTGTGTTCTGCCTCTGCAACTGGTTAACTACTGCCCTTTTCCTTCAGTCCTTCTGCCATCTATTGCTGAGTTGGTTCTAGTCTGCCTGTGACAGTGAAATATAATGTACTTATTTAGGAAAATTAGCAAAACATGCAAGCAATAAAAGAGAGACAAAATAGTAACAAGTGCGGAAGAAGACAAATGCAGAGGTAACGTACACATATAGCAGGAAATGAATAAATACATAAAAGATGGAACAGTAAAGCATAATAACAGGATATAGAGATTTATTCCAGCAACGCAAGAATGGTTTGACATGCAAAAATCAATCAATGTCATAATGTAATATACCGAATTAATAGAATGAAGAGAAAAAAACCCACGTGATCTTTTTTTCTTTGAGAGTCGTCTTGCAGTATTCTCCTTTTCATGTTTACACACAAGCATATATTCTCTGTCTTCCAACGGTCTCCTTCTTCTCCCCTTTCTCCTTTATTCCTTAATAAATAAATGTTCAGAGCCTGACCATACCATGTACTAGGCTAGAAATAAAGAGAAAGAAGATGAATGAAACCAACTCCCTGCTCTTCAATCCGCTGCTTGTGAATTAGGTGATGCTCTCCTAAGGGCAGGGATAATGATAATGCACTTGTAAGTTGGGCTGTAGTTGGGTGCAAGGCTGGGGTGGGCATGTGTATATGGTAGAGAAAGGCTGATTGTGATCACCCCAAATTTGGGTCCATGGCTGCCAGATTGGCTGAGACTATACTTGGGCTAGGGAACCTGGTGACATGAGTAGTGGCTGAAGATTTAGACCCTTAAAGTTTATGGCTCCCCTGAGTGTTAGTTGAATATTTTAGGATTGCTAGGTAGGGAGCTGCGGCATCCTCATTCACTTGCATACACATATTGTGGGAGAGATTATTAGCTTTTATCCACTTTTCCTGAAATAATATGTATTAATGGAATTACACAACACAAAACACACTGAGAGTTGTGTACAATTACCAAGATTTGATATGTAAGACATTTCACCATCAAATTATGGCTCCTCATCCCATCTTCTTCGGAACTTGCTCTCTCTGCTGCAGATGGCATCACTAGGGCCCACATTTGGAACCTCTCCCAAGGTATGCCCCAGGGTCTCTGGAGTCTGGGTGTTGTATTCCAGCTCCTGCTCCACCCCTTGTGATGCTGTCAGCATTCTTCAGAGCAGGCTCTTCTTAGGTTCCTTGATTTGCACATAATCTCTCCTGCCCAAATAAACTCTCAGCCATGCTGAGAGGCTCTTGGCTTATCTCAGCCAAAGGCTGTATAACTCATAGAAAGTGAAATTAAAAATCTTCCCCATCTTTGTCTTTCCAAGCTGCTGCTCAAAAGAGAATCCAGTAACAAAGATTGAGTTCTAGGGTTTCTAAGGATCTGTCCTTTTCCCCTCTATCTGGAGAGGAGTAGCTGATGTCACTTCCAAATCTCTCTGGCTTGTGAATAGGTTCTTATTCTGCCTGTTTTCAAACACGGCACCCTCTCCCACTGCTGGCATCTGTGGGTCATATGGAAAGAGGGGACTTTTTCTCTTGAGCTTCTATGAAGTACGGTTTATTTTCTAGTTTTTCCATTTCTCTTTCCATTTCAATGCTGAAGCATTTTGTTAGACTTCCTTTTAGTCAACAAGTGCCTTCATGTTTTGTCTCCTCGTCCCTTATCAAAACCAAAAGTAAGGTATCCTTTGGCAAGAAGCCAAGAATATCACACCAAGGTGAAGAAGATCCATGGTTTCTCATTTTGGCATTCAACCTATTGCCCAAGGAAGAGTTCAGTAGCCAACAGGAATGTTGCCCCTTCAAAGTGTGCCACCTCCATTGAGCCTCTTTGTCATGCCCGGCCTGTGAAGACCCAGTACCCACCATCCCTTCAGCCCCCCACCAAGCATGGGGGTGCTGTGCAGGCAGCCGTGTGGCCTGACAGTCTCTACCAGTCCTGCTGTTCCTCGGCTGAGAATCAAACCCATTCTGGATGATGGGGAATGTGTCCTCTGCCAGCTGTGTTCTCTGTGGAGCTCAAGGGAAGGGAAGGGCCAAGCCATTACTAGGGTGCTGTTCAGAGCAGTGAAAAGGCCACATCCTTTCCAAGGAACACTTTTCCTGGAAACCCCCCTGAAGCTTAGCTGGCTCTAATCCTGCGAAGCCGGCTCTGGCCACCAGCACACAGGGCCATGAACTCAGCCTGGAGGAAGCCTGTGGGGCAGCCGGTACTCTGGGGGCACAGACAGGCGAGGGAGGCAGGAGGACAGAACGGAAGATGCCTGGGCTGGATGGAAGTCAGTGCCCTTGGGTGCTGGGACCCTGCCTTTGTGGCCACCACTAGATCAGGCTTCTGAACCTTTGGCTGTCAGGGCCAGACTGTCCCCACAGGCTCCAGAGCAGTCCCCATAGAATCCACCAGGCAGCATATAGGTAATAGGCCTAGAAGGTCCCCAACAGCACAGCTGGACATGTTCAGACACACTGGGGCCCTCTGTTCAGTGGCACAAACTCCAGGACCCAGCGAGGGAAACAGGAACACCCCAGGCCGAGCAGTATGGCTAAAATCCATTTATTCCAAAATTAAAAGCAAAATAAATAGGAGTCGCATCACCAGGGAGCCACAACCCCATCCCTGCCTCCTTCCTCTGTGGTAAGCTATCAAATAAGTTTCCCAGCCGCAAATAATTGTTAGAACCTCCTCCCTATATGCCAACTCCAACCTCCACTATGTATGATACAGGGGGCGACCCTACTCCCAGAATAGACAAAATATTACATAGATCCAATATGTACACTGGGGGAGGTTACCCCAGCAGCCCGTGCCGTCACCTCGTCTACATTAGCTTCATTGGCCTGCCTCAGCTGCCTCTCTGAGTAAGATGGGAGTCCCCATGAGGGAAAAATTGCTTTGGTGAGAGTAAGGCCATCAGAGAGGCCATGAGGCTTCCTCAAAAGAAATCAACTCTGGCTCTTAAACAACAATAATCATCCAGAAATTGAGGGACTCAGCCCTGGCCAAGGTGGCAAAGGGCTTGCACTTGTCTGCCTCACCGCATTAGACAGGGGTCTTGTCTGGCTACTGTAAAGGTAAAGCGGTGACTGGGAAGGGGTGGTAGGGACATGGTGGGGGCAGAGCCTCCAGCTCCACTTCTCCAGGCTTTGCTGACAGTGGCCTGCTTTTATTATTATTTCTTAAATTTTTATCCCATGACTTTATTCCATAACTTGTTTTTCAATAACTGTTCAATAACATTTTTCATAATTCTTTTTCCATAACTTTTCCTTTTTTTATAACTTCTTTAATCCCATAAATTTTTTTATCCCATACCTTTTTTTTAATTCCATACTTTTTTTTTAATGTAGTGGCCTGCTTTTAGATGTGATCTTCACCTCGTCTCCACCTGCCTCCCTCATTAGACAGGGGTCTTATTTTGCTACTGTAAGGGTAAAGGGATGACTGGGAAGGGGCAGCAGGGACATGGTGGGGACAGAGCCTCTGGTCTCATATCTTCAGGCTTTGCTGACAGTGGCAGGCTTTTAGATGATGGTAATCTTCAACTCCTTGTTTTCCTGAGCCCAGTAAAAAATGGGGATGCAGGGGTTGCCGTCCAAGCTTGGGTGTTACTGAGGGTTCTGCATCTCATGAAACAGCTGCATGATATTCTATGCAATGAAGTTGTTGTGGGGAGAACCCTCCCTGGCCTTCCCTCATTCAGGCTCCATGCTGTGGGAGATCTTTGGAGAGAGGGAGGCAGGGCTGTGAGTGCTGTGCGAGTCCTCCCCTCATCCCACCAGCCCATCCCACCCAAGAGCTCTACTCATCACTCTGCTTGTTGGCAGCTCCACGCTCCTGGGGAGCTGGGGACCCTGGAATGGACTTATCAGCAGGGTTACGGACAGCGACCAGAAATTTGTCATGCCACTCACTTCAGTTGCTCACAAGTTGCAACACCAGCAGCTCCAGCAGCTTCGCCTGGAGGGAGGGGTGCTCAGCTACTGTGCCTGTGCCCACACCTCCCCATCCGCATCTTCACCCCCGCAGAGATGTTGCACGACCTACCTCCATCTTTCATCCTTCTTCTCTTGGATAATCCCAGTAATGTACTCCTCCTGCTGGTGCCACATCTTCAGCACTGCCCTCTGGCTCTTGTACAATGTGATGTACTCTCCTGCAAAAGGACAGGGCTCAGACGCTGGGGCCCCTCCGGTCACCCTGCAGCTCCCGCTGGCTTCCAGCTCACTGATTATGTCTGTGTCTCCAGACAGCTGAATGCAGTGACATTCCAGTTTCTCCACCCACTCCTTCTCCTTCATAATCGCCATAAAGCTGCTCTGGAGTCAAAATAATGGAGTCACACCCCCACAACAACCTGCCCCACCCCCACCCTTCTTGGCCCATGCCAGGAGAGACTCATTCACCCGAAGCTTCTCTATGGCCTCCTTTAAGGACCAGTGGGTCTTCACACACAGAATTGCCTCCAATCCCTGGGGCCGAGGCTGTCACCTCTGGCTTATTCTGGGCCAAGGCCACCGGGTGAGTCAGGAGCTGGCAGCACAGCCTTTGCTCCTTCAGTTGCCCACACAGCTATGCCTGCTCTTCCTCGGCACTGGCTAAAGCCAAGTTTTAAAATGCCACCTGCAGGCAAGAGGTGCGCATTCTTGTAGGGGGATACCCAGGATGAATGGGGCAAGGAGACAGAAGACCTTCCCTTGGGGCCTCAGAGGGTGCACCTGTTGGCCTCAGGTGGAATAGTGTCTGACCACTGGCTCCCAGGGAAGGCACGAGGGTCCAGAGAAATCAGAAGGGAGGGAAACCAAGAGCATAAGGGGGTCTGGGAGGGAGCAGAAAAGGAGGCAGCAAAGGTAGGGCAAGGGGAGTCAGGCTCACCATGGCCTCCTAGTTCTCCAGGTCCTCCGGGGTGCAGCATAGACCAAGGCTCCTCTTCCTCCTCCTCCTCACTCTCCAGTCCATCTCCTATGGGGGGGGGGGGGGGGGGCGGCGTGACCAGAGGGGTCCTCAGACAACCCAACAAGGGAGGTACAGTGGACCTACCTCTGCCCTCATCCTCACTGTGTAACCCTGGACAGCCCCTCCCCAGAGAGGAACGAGCAGCTGTCTTTTCTTTTTCTTTTTTTTTTTTTTTTGAAGAGCC